GATGTATTTAAAATATTTTTCCTTCGGTACAAATACCATATCATAATTGTCCCAAGTTCAATAATTAGAAATTAAAAATAAAGAAATGATATAAGAATAAAAGAGCTTTCTTAAATCCCATTACGACATATTAATATTATCGTTTAAGAAATCTGTAACACTTATGTAAGTATCCAAAAAAGTAGGCAATGCTTTGTTCAAGCTCACGATTTGTTTGAACTGGGATAGGTAATATACGTGTACTTTATGCAAAATTGAGACTTATTTTATAAAGAATTGTGTAAAATCTTATCAGAATTATTATTAATGGGGAAAACAACAAAATATTTGTTTATAACTTTTACGCCAATAATCCAATGTTGAAATTCATTGTCTGGAAATAAAAATATGCTAGAAGACTTCCAGAAAATGAGAACAAATTTGCTTTATGGGGCATGAAATACCAAGAAAAATAAATTTTCGAAGTGAATGTGGAAAACATTTTAACATGGGCTGCAAACTAATTTTCCAGATTTCTGGTATGTGCTCTTTACATGAAAAATGACAAAATGCCCACAGTAAAAAAAATGTGTTCAAACCAGTTCATTGTTTTGCTAGGAAAACTTTCATGAGCCACATATATATTTAATATAATAAATCTGATTATTCAATTAAATTTTGAAATAAAATGTAAGTGCAATTAGCAAATTCCCATACAGGAGGAAGTCACTTGAACATTTAGATCTGAAATTAAAGACAAATTCCAAATTCTGGCCAAAAAAAAAAGGTTCTTTTATTTAAAAAAAAAATACTGGAACGTGATTCACAAATCAAAACCTCCCCCTTCAAAATATCCGTTTAAACCCTCTCGTCAGTGGAAAGGAGGAGGACAGCTGGTCCGATCTAGCCGTTGGCTACCTACAAGTTAATAATTTGTTTCACTATATTCATGGCGGAGAAAACAATCATAGGTTTCGTTTCAGTCACATGCTAATCCAAGTTCTAATTGGCAACGACACGTGTCCAAAATGTCTTTTGCTTTAATCAATGTTTGCTCATAAATAGAGACATGTTTCACGTCTGATTAAAATGATCTAAGAATTTTTTTCCCTTAAATTGACACATAGGCAATGCGTGCACCATAAATTTATTCCGCTTATCTCGGTAAAATTACTTCATTTTGTTAATTTGTTATTTTTATTTCACCTCCAAACACGCAAGTATAAAATACATAAAAATAAATCTTTGAAAGATTAACCCGGTCCCATCTTTGTAGAAATCAAAAGTGAAAGTAGAAAACACCAGCGCAAGGGAGTTTGTATAATAGCTGCCACATGAACACCGCCTTTGTAAATTGCAATCATACTACACTCTGATCATCAAGGAAGATAATTATTTATTTACTTAGTGTAAACATTTTTGTTTCATTAGTGATTGAGCAATTTTAGAGCGACACCACATGCAAGATTTTCCCAAGAAATATCTAACATATTTTACTATTATGCTGGATCATTACATTCTCTGTTACTATTATTGTCCATATTGGGCTCAAGATTTATTACATTTTGAAAACAAATAAAAAAGTTTAATCACATGTATTTTAAGGGCGCGTTCGAAAGACTTTCTTCATTTTTCAAACTTCTTGGAACTTCCGGTTGAGAATACACTGTACTGTGAAAGAACGTAACGGTTCATTTTTAACCGTTGTGAAATAAGCAAGGAAAATTTGGCTCGTTTTATGTATACATGTATACACAGTTTGAGAATTCCCCATTAGACCCAAAAGGGTAACCGACTGAATGTTATTAAAGTCTATGAAGGATCTACAGCAAATTGTTTAGGATGGGGATAGTTGAAACTCGCAATATTTACCCGACCGGGCTAGATCCAAATAAACATCAGTGGATATGTTACTAATCAATCAAATTCTTCACTTTGATATTTCAACAACAAAAGTACAGATAATTCTATCAAAGCACCTTCTGAAGAAAAACAACACGCGAGCTTGCGCGCCATTGACGCTACACGTGGGTTGGATTTCTCTCAATGTTGTGTTTGTTTCCACGGAGCAATTGTATAAATAAAGTTTAAGAATCTTCCAGCTTTAATTACCACTAATGATTTATCTTGGTCATTTTTATTGCTACAGTTGCAGATTACATCAATCTTTCGAAAATGGCCCGCATTGCGGAATGTTTGGCAGAAAGAACCACGGTGACCAGAATGATGTTTGAATTCTTGTCATACATTTTAACTTTATCTTGTCGGACAATTTTTAAAACTAAAACCAACTTAATTTTGTATCCAACTGGAATGGAGACCAAAAATAATTCATTTTTATGAACATGTATTACTAAATTAAATATGCAATTTGTACACAATTTTTTGTACAATTTACAAAGTATGGATATCAATCACGAGTAATTAATATGTAAAGGTAAACAATTTTTATCAAATATATGTATGCAGATTTGTAAAAAAAAAATCAATTTTATATGAAAAAAAAGAAAATTCAAGAGTTTGCAACATGCAAACAAAAGTTCCCCAAGTACAGATAATTTTAATTTGGTTTTCGTATGCAGCTCTACATGGAATTTGATTAATTTCCTATTATATTTTATTCTTTAAAACTAAAAGAATATATATATTGCTGACTAAAAATTCTTATTCCGTAAATTAGACAAGAGTCATTTTCTTTTTAAAATTTTTTCCCATTCACACCAGCTTTTTTTCTGCTAACCATGTCCATTCAGACGTGAGTAAAACTGATACATATATCTTTGATAGCGACCTTTGCAACGATGGGTCTTCAATCGTGTATATATTGTAAATGCTGAATGTCTGCTTCGACAGTTGATGGTCACAAATGTCTTAGTCCTAATTGCTTTTCTAATTAATCTTCTAAGTTTTTTGCTTACAGATTTGTTATTGTGAATGTAAAACATTTACACTACAATACAACAAGATTTCCCTCGTGTATCGTCTGCCTCGTGGCGGACTGGAATTGTCAATCGTTCGTCATTCTGTAGAAAACATCGAACCGTTGTCCTGACTCTTGTGCCATTAATAACTTTTATCAATCCTAATAATCCAGGAAAGAAAATTATTTAACTAGCCATCTCAATGCCTCTCGCTACAATAGGATTATTTGCGCTGTTTATCGAATTTGAATTTTAGATATAATTATTTCTCCCTGAAGTGTCGGAACACGTGACCTGCACGACCTTGCACTGATTGGCTTTCTTGAAGTAGTCTAAAATGTGGTAAATCTAGTATTTTATCGGTAAACCCTATTGTTGGAATGTAATGAAATCTAATGCAATATCTTTAACAATATTTACACACCTGAAAAGAATACTTAATAGCAAAATGGGCAAATTCCATGCGAGCAATTTTAAAGAAAATTAAGGGGTTGGGAACTATTAAATTTTTTAAACTATCAACATTGTATCTTTAGTTTCAGTGTTTCAAGTTTTCTTAAATCGAATTTTATTTTTCTACTTTCTTTCAAGTGGTATTTATAAACACATGCCAAAACCTCTGACGCAAACAATTGTGTAGATAATAATAAGTTATTTAGATGCAGCTGAATACACTTTAAAGATAAATTTTTACAACCGTTTACAGGAATAATTTTTAAGACGTATGATTCTGCAAAGGGGGTTGGGGTAATTATTGAAAATCTATGCATATGTTTCGTATAACTGAATAAAATTTCATTCTTAATTTATTTAATTATATTGTAGAAAACTAGAGGAAATTTTAGAGGGGTGGCATGCTTAACCAAAATTTCTTTTAAACTAATCTTTCAAGATTTGTTGAAACCGTACAACATTACAAGAGGAATAACTCGTGAGGATTTAATGTTTGGTGTGTTATTGAGTTTATATCTGGGCAGGTGAACATGACTCTCACCATGGGCCTCTCATAGTATTATTTCAAATACGAAAGTCTATACCGGTCTGAAATCAAAAATTGTAATGCAATAAATTCTGATTTAAAAACACAAGAAGGAGGTTAAAAAATGTTTTCAAGGCAAAAAGGCCCAAATTTAATAAATGAAAATTCTAAAACAGTATTTTCACATCTGCAGGATACCCCTAATCATCTTGTAAATATGCAACGGCTACAGGAGTTCTGTGAACCAGGGTTTTTTTTTCTTCTTTTTTTCTAAAATGAACTAAGTGCTGTTTTTAGTTATTTCCACACCTAGATGTTTGACTCTAAATGTAATCACATTCATGTTTGGGGTACAGTGTAACAAGGGAAGTACCCACATAATTCCATCTTAACAGAAAAAGCCCCCCCCCCCTTTTTAAACCTCAATCGACCTCTGGGTGAAAATCAAAATTCGAAAGACCTACCTAAATACGCATCTATAGGACACTCTCGGATTTCTTCCTTATAAAAGGACTACTGTGGAAATGAGGGAGTTTAGGGAACCAGATTTTTTTTTTTTTTTTTTTTTTTTGTTTGTTTGTTTGTTTTGTTTGTTTGATTTTTTTTTAAAGAAAAACGCTTTTTGACAAAGTTACCCAATTAGTCCTCGGACTTCCTCCAAAATACACTAGAACTACTGCGAAAAATAAGGGAGAAGTTCAGGGAACCAGATTATTTTTTAAAGAAAAATGCTTCTTGACAACAACCCCCAGTCCTTTTTTCACCATAATTTTGGTCCCCACTATGAAAATCAAAATTTTGAAACCTTAAGTATTGAAACCTTATTGCAGATCGATAGAACACAATCAATCACCATCTAAAATGATTTGGATAAGTAATGATAGAACTGCAGAAGGATCATTAGATGAACAAGTTTTTTTGCCAAAAAAAAAAGAACATAATTTCCGACACCCAGTCGTCCCCGAGGGCGAAAATAGAAATTCGAGACTTTATTGCACATCTTCAAGACACTACCAATAATAATGCAGTTACTGCAAATATTGCTTTTAGTTCATTTCATGTGCCTTGATTTCTGGAAAATCATTTCCACTTTCTGGATGAAAACAAAAGTAACATATGCATTAAAGCTGTAATTTTATTTTGAAACATAACATTAACATTTTCCCCCATACATTAACAAGACCTATAGGAATAAATATATAAAGTACATGTTCTTCAGAAATCAGCACAAAAAAAAACACATTAAGAAATCAACTCTTCTACATTGCTTGTACAACAAACTTGTAGAAAAATCACTTTGTAGCAAACACAGAGAAGGAAGCTTTATATGTAGATCAACTATATCAAATATATGGATGATGAGTGTAGCTTGTAGAGAAATTAAGAAATTGCTTGTCTGTGGGAACATTTTGATATTGCAATTTTATACAATGTATAAATCAAATAAGGTAGTGGTGATTGCTTATTAGTTTGAGCTTTCAAATATAATATGTACTTTCAATATTCAGATGTAAGATTGTCAATAATAATACTTATATTTTTTGAACAGTGAATCAGTAACAATTCAACAAACATATCTCAATGATAACTCAATATCCTAAAAGATGCTCTCTTTTTTTAAAAATGGATTTTAAAATTTGATAGTGCTTGGAGATTTTAAAGAAAATTAAGAAATTTATTGCTGTAGAGGAATAAATAGAAAAACGCAATACAAGAAAGATAACTCTAGTTCATAGTAAGGGTACAGTCTAGTACATAAAGCTAAAATCACATACAAATATAAACAGTTTAGAAAGTTGTAGAAAAGACACATAAAAAGTATTTTACATGTATAAACAAAAAATATAGAAAGAGCAGCACTGGTATATCATCAAAAATGTAAGGAATAGGGGATAAAATTGCAACTTTTTTGTAAAATGATTCAGCATTGAATCCCTCGTATTGATTGGATCAATCAATTCCCTGAAAGATTTCTCACTTTACAATTATAAACTTAAACAGAGTCTTTTCAAGGGAAAACAATCATTCTATCAACAAACATTCGGATGGTATCCTCTCAAACAACACTTGCATTTTCCAAACTCTACATCATTTCATTTTGCATGGGAAAAAATCTAAAGCTATAGTGTAACAGGAATATTTCTTATATCATGATTCAGTATCTAAAGCTATAGTGTTGCAGGAATGTTTCTCATATCAATATTTCTACATAAAACAGAAATTCTGCTTAATAAGGTAATTAATAGCATTTCTTGGATACATATTTCTAAATGAATATAAAAATATCTATCTGTAGAAAAATATAACTGCTTAGATTTGATGATGTTTTGCATGACAAAAATATTTGCATATTCACACACTTTGCAACAGTTGATTTTTTGCAATGAAAAATGGTACCAAAATTGTGTTAACAAGTGACAAATAAATGAAAATAAAAACTATCTGAAGAGAAAATTCACTACACAAAGAAAAATATTGCAAAAATCTACTTTAAATTTAAAAAAAAAAGGAGAAATTTTACTCTCAATTAGACTGAATTTTGAATATTTTTAAAATGAGAAAAATGTGATGTTTTAAATAAATCACATCAAATACCAGCAAAAATACCCTTTTTGGTTCATATAAATACACAAATTTAATTTCAAAATACACAAAGAAAATTTTTGTGTAAGGTGCTAATAAGTCATCTTCAAACTCTGTGTTAAATATTGAATCATCATTAGTTAATCACTGGTTGTAGTGAACATGATGATAACAATAGATTCAGAGATATTTCAAAGTGATTTGGTAGTTCTAACCACTTTTCCTCATCTTTTTTACCCTCATTATATTGAATTTTTAGCTATCTTAAAATTATATTTTGGTCCTGTGGAATTTGAGATAACATGGTCCAGACTGTACAAGATAATTTATTTCAGGAGATAATACTTTATCTATACAAAATCTTTATGTCAAAATGAATAAAAATTCCATTACTTGAGACAGACTAAATTGACTATTATCTACCAATTCCTCCTCTAAAGTAGGAATTTAGAATCTTTGGCCAGCTGAGCTAGACTGTAGGTCGGGACCAGCCCTTGACCTTCCATGAAATCGGCCTGACATGAGAGGGGGACATTCTTATGGGTCAAGGCCAACCTCATGCAGTTGTCAGCGAAGAAGCTGCGTAGATCCTGGTCAAAGACCTCCTCCAGGAAACGTCGGAGGGGCAGAAGGTGACTGGTCCAGCCGTCCCAGGAGGTCAGGAAATCCTCCACGATGTGGTGGAGTAACTTAGGAGGGGGGAGGAGGTCCCTCAGGGGTTTCTTCTGCATGTCCTCTGCTGTAACAGTGAAATAAGAACAGTTGTAGCTCGCATCAGTGTGGTAAAATTGGATGAGCATTTTATCTCAATACAAATTCTATGCAAGGGATACTGTCCCTATTTCTGTTTTCAAGTTTGGTTTTCATTAAAATTTAATTTTTAGCTTTATGAATGAAAAATAATTTCATATTTTATTTTTCTATTAAACTGGAATTTTGAGAGAAAAACGTTTTTTTTTATATTTTATTTTTATATTAAACTGGAATTTTGAGAGAAAGAAATTCTTATATTTTGTCAAAGAGTTTTACACATACATGTACAAATGTACCATCTGTATGCAAGACTTCTATCTTCATTTCAATATCTGTTGATTGATGTGCTTAGATTTTCCAAACCCATTAGACAAAAATATTTTGGAATACCTCATTACATGTATCATGTCTTACCTGTAGGAAGTTTGTCATAATAATAAAGCACAGGGTGTAGAAAGTTAGACTGGTGGGCCTCTGCTGGTTCCCCGGTAGCCCGATCAATGCGGAAAATATCATTTCCTGGTCCAGAGAAATCCTTGCCATACTCCATAACGATAGCGATGATACGAGTGGCGTTGTGACCCGAATGTTTGTATAAGTCATCGATAAGGTTGATAGGGAATTCCTCCAAGTAATCAAACTCCAGACCATTACTGTAAAAAGAGACTTCATTAAGATTATTGTGAATATAGAATACATGCATGTGTCATATGATTTTACAACTCAACCCTATACCGAGGTAAAAAATTGATCTGTGTGAGAGAGTGAAAAATTGAGAGAGAAAACATTTTTTCCTTTTTCTCCAAAAGAGTACAGGCCTGATTAGAGGAAAAATTATTTCACGAAATTTCATCCTGGTACTAGAAAATGTTATCTTTTGAAGTACAGTGTATCAAAATAACAAATGAAACTTGATTCACACAATTCTAGCCTTGTGTTGATGAAAACGACCACAATCAATATAATGCACCTGACGCATTTACATCTAGGTTTCAAAACCTGAGATAAAAACTGAAGTAGACTTTTAAGTAACAGATGACTATTGTGCACATTTTGTTTCCTTCCATATGCAGAATACAAATTCATTTCAGATATTCAGTAGAACTACAGTTATGGAAAAATCCTGGGTCAATTTAATATATATTTGATTCCCCATAGGACAAACTGGCAATATACAAACTTCTTATGTCAACTGATATGCCCATAAAGTATTGAATAAACCTTGGAGAAATGTATCAGAGAAATTAAAATTTTTCTTCTCTATAAACCAGCATCTGGATCAACATTCCACAGTTTACTGTAAACCAACTTTTATTCGCAAGCAAAAAATATCTGCAAATTTCACAACTTACTTATAACTCCCAAATATTAATCACGGGAAACCATTTATTTAGCTTTGTATTTGTATTGAATGTTTCCTCAGTCACTAAAATTAATCGTCGCAAATTAATATCAAACTGAAAAATCACAAATCAAAGATGATGCAAATTATAGTTGATTTACTGCTTTTGGATGCTTACTCTTTAATGACAATGATGTCCCCCAATACTCCGAACATCTGGTACATCCCTGATGCCTCGTTTAGCCTCTTCACTATCGTGTTTTCTATCTGGGTGATGGGGGCTGTGATTGAGGGCCAGGGAACCTGGTGGTACCTCCACTCCAATAGATGATGAAGGGCACGGGCTGAAATAGAGTAGGAATAGTTTATAACTTCTTATGTTTTATAACACATTGTATAGTTTTAAAACTTTTATGTTCTAGAAATTAATATTTAGTATAGAGTTTTGAGCTAATATACTAGTATATGTTAATAATGTGCACATCTACATGTCGCAGCATGACACAGTTTCCCCTTGCAAAAGAGAACATTTATACTGATGTAATTTATAATCTGCATAATGGAAGCATACTCACTCACCAACTCATCCCCATCCACATATGAGTATTACTATTTTTCCCTAACAACTTTTTTTGCAATGGGATAATAAATTACTGGGTACTAGTAGTTGTGTCTTTTACTTAGAGAACCTTAATTTACCTACCTGTATACCTGAATCCATGGATAAACCCCCCAGCAGATTTTCGGAAGTCCAGGGAATGCGTGTTTGTACCAGCGAAGAACATGCCTGGGTTATCTGAGGACTCGTAATCATAGTTAATTTTTGGGTATTTTTTCGCTCTTCCTTTTCCAGAAGAAATCATTGTTTTGCTAAAAAAATTAAAAAAATTTTTTTCTTTTTAATAAGATAATCAAAATCAGTTTCAGAAAAATTCAGCACTTTAAGAAATACTTGACTGCATCTTGATCATTAATGTTTATATTGTGTTAAATGAAAGCAAAAATGATTGAAAGCATCAAAAAGAACAAACATTGTGTTTAGTGAATTACCGAACCCATTTCTTTAAAATACATAAAAATAAACGTACTTGTTAAAAATAGATTTATCAAACACAAATCCGAGGCAGCGAATGATTTTATCGTAAGGATCCCGGAGGGCAAAGTTATCAATGTTGTAAACTGGGTCATCCTCATCCTCTTTGAACTGAAGATGAAGTTTTCCGTCCTTCTTCACGATTTTAACTTCCTCTAACCCCGCCTCTAGGACGCCATCTAATGATTTCAACTGATATGTATCCAGTAGTCCATTGTTGACTGCCCTGTGGAAAGTACAATAAAACGTACTTATAAGAAAACTGAATATAAGGAAACCTTGGTTTTAAGGAAGATATGAATTTTCATCATCCCTAATATCATAAAAATTTCTTGAATGGATACAAATTTGATTGTTAGGAACTAACAATTCATTCTCCCTAGATTTGACTTGGATATGAGATTTTCAGGACATTATACTTATAATTTCTGCATTTAGGTATTAACTACGTTCCTAACTATTAATCATTTCAAGCTCCATAGTGTATTTAAGGTCAATATCAAAGGTTAAGATTTATAAATTAAATGTGTATTATTTTACTTTAGCTTGGTCAAATATGGTGTTTCGGGGCATAATTCATTGGTAAACAAGATGAAAAACTGTATTTTAAATTGTCATTTTCAATGAAAAATTAAGAAAACCAGTCATGAATATGGGAGTTTTTTCATATTCGGCAAAGGAAATGTATCCAGATTGCCTACAGTTTCTCAGAAAACGGTAATTAGTATGTTCATGGCCTTTTCTTTAAACCAATATCAAAAATTGGGACTTTTCATATGATTTCAAATTAATGGTAAGAAAATACCTATTTTCCATTGGTTTTAAAGCCGTAAAGTACGGGAAAAAGAAAGTTAATATTGATTATGACGTCATAATGGATCTAGCACCAAAAAATTAGTCTAAAGTTATTTACTAGATTTTGACCTTAATGTGCTTCAAAGTTTAAGTATAAATTCATGTGTATTATTTTACAGTGAAATCTTGTCATCTCAACTCCATATGTCGGAGAAAAACCTTCCGAGTTATCTGAAGATTCAATAAATAAAGGTTAAAATCCCTTTTTATACATGTAAAAATTGGGACTTCAACATTAATTTCCCATATCCATGGTTTTCTAGATATCAATGTTTGAGAGATTATTTAAATCTGCAGAACAAAAAAAGCTTGTCTTTCATGCTTGAAACAAAAGCATGTTGGGTTGCAATGTTGTATTCAATATTGAAATTTCTTCTTTGCTTTTAAAATAAGCAAAAAATTTATCTGAGGATGAATGACAAGGTATTTTATGTTTTGCTAGGCTTTGGGTACATTACATATCGCTAGATAACAAAAATTAATGTTTCTTCGGGGATGCCAGCATCTCCATTTTTAATGTTTGATTTAGCAATCAAATGTAATTGACCATTCAACTTGCTGACATTATTTTAGTCTTCTATAGGAAAATAGAGGAAAAAATTTGTTCAGCTAGGACAAAATAGGCCTGTTTGCAAGAGAAATGTCTTTCAAGAACCAAATTTCTACTAACAAGACATTTATGTATTTCACATCACTTGCTTCACCGGAATAAGAGCAATTATACAGAAGGATAAGAGAAACAAACAAGAGGCCCATAGGCCACAACACTCACCTGAGTTTTTATCTTTTCTGGTTCTATAGAAGATTATAAAGTGACCCCACTTCTTAATTATCTCCTTTGGGAAGAAAGTATGGTCCTTCATTTAAAGAAATTTGAATCCCCTTTGCCCATGGATATTTTGTGATATGTTGGGTTAAAATTGGCCCAATGGTTCTTGAGAGATTAGATGAAATTTTAAAAAAATAATCATAACGACAACAACAAAAATGGCAAACAGTTCTAGAAAATGGTCAAATTCAGATCAGAAAAACTCACTCAAGCCTTTGGCTCATGTGAGCTAAATACTGCTCTCACCACTCTAAAGATAGCCACAAACCTGAGATCGCCAACATAATGTGTGGCCCATGATAGTCTCACTCTGGAACGCGCTACCATGTGTACCACATTAGTATTTCCGTAGATAGCATCAGCCGTCTCAAAGGCAGCATTGCCACGTCCTGTGGAAATAAAAAAAAAAATTTTTATGTCGTGATCCCCAGTCCTTCTGAATAACACCATTATTATATAAGGATATCATCCCTTCCTCTGTAATTTGATCCCTGGAAATTGCCTTAATTAGAAATTATGTTTTTAACAAATAAAGTGTTTCTACGATGTGTTATGGGTTTATACAAGCAAGTTTTTTGAGCAATGATCATTATTCTTTGCAATAATTGTTCTTAGTGCTCACACTTTGAGGGTATTTATTACAAAACTAATGGTGTAAAGTTCTTTTGCTTATACTTGTTTCATCCATAAAAGGCATCTGGCAGTCATTTTTTTCCAAGTTACAATTTACTATTAATGTATTTGTTTTTTCCACTTGAACATTATCTACTCCTCATCTAGAATTTGATATTCATCAAACCAATGATGATAAAAAGTGCTTATTGATTATCTATTTTCAACGTGTTACATGAAATATAACCCCTTTTATTTTAAATGTTGAATGCACATATGTCAAAAACATATTTTTTTCCTGGTTTTTTATAATTTTCTTTTCAGGCCAAAACAAAATTACATGTATTATTACTTGTTTGGAATTGTCTCCATCTCATTTAAATGACTCCTGAAAAAAGATTTATTCATTTGTCTATGACCATGCAATTTCAGATTTTTAAAAATCCATTTTTGGCCTGTTATCACGAGCATTGCTGAAACTTTAACCCTGGATTCTAGCAAAAACAAGTTTTTTTTTTTTAAATAAAAGTGGAGACACTATTTACAAAAAAGTCAGAAAATAATGTGTTCACTGTGTAAATTTTACGATTTTTATCATAACTTTCTAAATTTACTTTAATTTGAAAAAAAAAAAATCCTTTCTTCCTTGTTAGAACATACAAGAAGCAATTCCAAACATATATTTATTTTTAAGAAAGACCTCATAGTATCAGTAATAATTAAACAAAGTATTTGACATTTTTCTTTATTTCTAATTTTGAAAGAGGCACCATTGATCATCATAACAATACACTTAGCAGTTGCTTAGCTTGGTTACTGAATATCCATATGCAGAGTAGGGGAACAAAAATGCATTCCAACTAATCAGTAATATTCAGCAATAAACAGTAGTGCTCCTAACACTGTGACAAAAACCCCTGACCCTAGGTCCACACATTGCACAAATTTTAAAAAGGCACCCTTAAAATTGCCTATCAAAAAATGAATGTTTTATAAATACAAAGGAGCAGATTTCAAACAATTAATTCATTTTCAGTATACATGTATAAGTATAGCCCATCCCCCCCCCCCCAACACTGACCCTGGGGCCTTGAAATTCACAATTCTGCAAGATTAGGGCCCTTGCTCATCATAACTATATAGGTAGTTCATCTGCTTCATACCCAGAGACAGAGAAGAAAATTTTCAAAGATTTAATGTATTTTCACTATATAATCAATAGAGCCCCGCCCCAACACCAGAACCCTTGACCCTGGGGCCATAAAATTCACAATTTTGGTAGAGACACTCTTACTCATCATAACTTTGCACTTAGTTAGTTTATTTAATACCTTAGAGCAGAGAAGAAGATTTTCAAAGAATTCAACACCAGAACCCTTGACCCTGGGGCCATAAAATTCACAATTTTGGTAGAGGCATTCTTGCTCATCATAACTATGCACTTAGTTAGTTTATTTAATACCCAGGGGCAGAGAAGAAGATTTTCAAAGAATTCATGTTTTTCCACTATATATAATCAATAGAGCCCCACCCTAACACCAGAACCCCTGAACCTGGGGCCATAAAATTCACAATTTTGGTAGAGGCACTCATTCTCATCATAACTATGTACTTAGTTGGTTTATTCAATACCCAGGAGCAGAGAAGAAGATTTTCAAAGAAATAATGCATTTTCACAATTTTGGTAGAGGACTCAATGCTGATTACAATCATGCAAACAGTTTGACTGCTTGATGTCCAGGAGTAAAGAAGAAGATTTTTAAAGATAGCATTAATTTGAATGGTTTTGGCCCCACCCCTCAGGCCCCAGGGGGGCAGGGATCATGAAATTCACAATTTTTGTTCCCCTTCACCCATAGATGCTTTGTGCCAAATTTGGTTGAAATTGGTTCAATGGTTGCAGAGAAGAAGCTGAAAATGTTCAAATGTTAACACACGACGCACGACACACAACACACAACACACGACGCACGACGACGGACGAAAACGGATAGCAATAGGTCACCTGAGTTTACTCAGGTGACCTAAAAAAAACAATGTCATGCAAACCTAGAGTATGTGTCAAATTTTACTTCAATCCTTTAAATTTTAATAAATCTGACATGAAGTCTATATCAACTTGATAAAAAAAAACCTGCAAATGGTGACAATTGCTCCATTCTGATCAATAACACATAACACCTGTGCTAGGTTCTAATGACACTAAATGCTGTTGACATTTAATAGTGATGTATTGCGCATATTCAGATCTCTAGTTTATTTGAACCATACAGTATATGTTACCAAACAACTTATATAAATTTCATCAAATTTCTATTTTTTTAACTCCTTAATTTGTAGGGGGAAAAATAGGTCATTCTAATACAAAACACCAAAGCTTGTTAACCATTTTAGAAAGTATCATTATTTGAACAATTTTCATATTTATTAACATGAAGAAATCGGCATCAGGTGTAAATTAATATGTGCATTCTGAATTCCGTTTATCAGATATATGTAAAACAAATTGTAATTCTTTTAAATCTTTAGAATTTATTTTCACACAAATATGATTTCATATCAGTTATTAAAATTTGTAGAAATATTAGGGTGTTTGTGTGTATGGGGGTGGGTATGTAAAAATTTTTTACGTCATTATCCTTGGCAAAAATTACATCACCAGTAGAGTAATATGTCACTGCATGTACCTGGTACAACTACATGTATAATTACAATCTAACATGTAGTTAAATGACAGCTACTGACTAGGATGTTGAAAGAGGATATATAATACTCAGTTCTCCTTTCTATACCTACCCAGTATAAGAACAGACTGCCCTTCAAAATCTTCTGGATTAATGGAGACATCCTCATATCCAATAACGTACTCATTGCCAATGAAGTCCGATGGAATGTTGGGGGTAGCGATTCCAGTAGCTACGATTAATTTTCTGTAAAAAGATAAAAGATAATGAAATCAACTTGAAGATATTTTCTTCATCAATCATAATTCCCCTCCATCTATGATATTTAACGTCTTAAAGGAAGGAGATTGCATCAATCATGGGATTCAAACCCCAGCCATGCCGACTCTCTCTGGAAATCAATGAGCAATCAGTGGAGATTTATTCTATTTGCGGACTACGGAGAAAATTTGATTGCGAGGAAATTTTCTCATTAGTAGCAGTGTGAGACACGATGACTTTCATGCTTAACAACTGAGTGCAATTTCTCTTTCTCATACATAACTATAGACGTAAAAAGACAGAAAAAATCCCATTTAAGAAATGTACAAAACATTATTCTTACACTACTGTGGTGTCATATTGATGTTTATTTTACACCACTTCATCTAGTATATGTTGTAGGACACAATGGCACTTAGGTTGTACATTGATGTAGGAAGTAACTTACCGATAAGTTGGTGCAATGATATGTTTTTTGTTCTTATAGACATTCTTCAAAAAACCAAATTTCTGTGTTCTTTACAGAGTCAGTATTTTAAAAAAATCTGTACCATTGATTTGAAAGGAAACCCCCATGATATGATTTTTTAAAATTAGTAAAATCTATATAATATTATTATATATACAATGAGTGTAGGATTAGGTAACTTTCACACCCTTAAATATCCAGGATTTTGTAAGAAACCTCATCCTTGTTGGTAAAATTAAAATTTGATCCTGTTGGTTAAGATTTGCCTATTATCCTATACTCATAAATTTGAATGATTCTAATACAATCTTTCATTGCCAGTGACATACCAATTGTTATCAAAGCCTATAATAGAACAACATACACTGTAAAATGCTTTGGTATATATAATGGACAGACATTTGGATGAACCAAAAACATAAATTGCCCTGATTAGAGAGCATAACAAATATAAGTTTCAACATCAAAATTTTTGTTGGTAAATCATATTCATTTATTTAAATAGGCTGACTAATCTTACAAGAAATGGAGAAATGGGATTATTGACAATATGCTTGCTGCTCAATGGAATTATGTATTTCACATAATCAAATAACATATCAGATCAAATCTGAGGAGAGAAGGATCAATATGAATTCCTGGCATACAATTAAAGCCTGATTTAGTTTAATTAGGAAAATATTATTGCATATTGTGAAAAATAAAATAAACATTCTCGCTGCATCGGGGGAAAAAATAAGCATCTCTAGTGGGTGTCATTTCAAAATTGAATGTAATCATGGGGACACAAAACTCAATCAATTTAGAAAATTGCAATGCTGAATTGCATACCCAGTAGTATTTACACAATAAATCAATGCCGGGATAGAATAACAGCTAATTGGGGGTCCATATAACCTTTCACAGCTCACTCATTGATTACAGACTAATGAAAGGGGAAATTCTACAGATCTGTTTTAGAAAAACCACAGTTCATAAAACCATTGAATAGCGCTAATCTCAATGCCTCAGTAATCTTTTACAAGTGTTTAAATATTTATGATGGCTTCTAGTTCTAGTATCAATTGCTTCATTCAATTGCTGAACAATACCCTGATGTCCTTTTGAGAGAAAAAAAAATGTTACAGCTAATGTAAAAAACGTTGCAATTAATTCAGAATATTCAGACTATTTTTTGTTTAATTGATGTTGAGCAAACATAAAGGTTCTGGAACAATTTGACAGCAATATCCTGGAATTGTCCCAAAAAAGAAGTAATTTCCTGTTTATTTCGTGTACAGTAAACCATTTCTTGTTTTATGACTTGGGAGTTTTGCACACAATAATCAAGACATCTCTTGTCTAATACCAGAATTTTTTTTATATCTGGCATTTTTCAATTTGTCAGCATTTCTTCAGTAGTTGATGGAAAACTGTTCTTAATGCTCATCAATTACATTTTTCCCCTAGATACTTCAAAAACGTTTTGCATCAAATTCAGTCAGATTGAGTCTTATGATCATATTTGAAGTTACATTTGACATAGTGTTACAGTCTTCACAGAAAATTTGTACATAAATGATTACCTTACTTAATGGACATTAAGATACTGACTTGTAAATTATCACAACTTCTCTATCCAGGCCTTTTCAAAAGAGAAAGTCTGTTTTGTCTGTATTTTTTATTCAAGTGTACAGTAATTTCTAAGTCTATTTTGGCTACCATACAATATTGTCAGATGCTGAATCATTTCATCATATCTTTAATTTCTTCTGTCTTTTTTCATGTTTGTTACAGTGATATCTGATATATTTTGTGAATTCTTACAAGTTTCCTTTAGTAAATAAGATGTAATTAGAAAATGGTATTTAGACTCTTGGAAAAAAGAAGTCCTCAATATTTTATGGATTCATTCGTGGTTGTGGATTACCGGTAATTGAATTTTGCAGTCCTTCAATGCTTCTGTTAATGCTTCATCTAATACCCTTGATGTTCAAATATCTTGCTTTATTCTATAAATCCCTTTATTCTCAAGAACTTACTTTTCTCATTAATACCTGATGGACCATCTGCTCAAAGACATGAGAATTCTATATTCACACATACTGTGTTCTTCCTTTAAAAATTATATAGTACAATACCCAAAATTTCAAGAAAATTTTGATTTACATGTACTTATAAAACAGCAAACAATCCTCTGACCAAAATGGATGTCATGAAAATTTAGTGATGTACAGTAGCTTGAAGAACTGTTGAGTACATGTGGTAATAAATAAACCTTAATGAAAATTAGTGATTTCACAGTATACAGCAACTCAAACTTACGAGCAAGTATAATGCTGGCCATTGTTATCCTCCATGGTATACAGGTCTTCTTGTCGTTGAATGTTCTGGATATTCGTGTTGTACTGTACTTTGAGACCCAGCTTTTCAGTGTAGTCTTTGAGGTATTTGACGAGAATATCTGCATGAGGGAACAATTCTTTGGAGTAATGGCGTATATGGAGGGATTCATCGTGACTGAGGAGGGAGTTCCAGTCGTGGCGCAGGTTAAATTCCTTGTTCGTTTTCCCGGTGTTTCTCTTGTTAATGCTGATGAGTTTTCTATGGCGAGGGTACTTCACATAAAAGCTACCTGAGAAAAGTAAAGGTGAATTTTTAAAACATGCCTACATTTCAGTTTATCTAAATGGAATGCAGTTTAAAACAAATTTAACCGGTAGTCAAATTTCTTACTTTATCAATGGTTTAAAAATTTAGTTGAAAGAAATTGGAAAAAAAATTTTAAAGCCTGATAAATTGGTCCTGAATCTGCATTGCAACATGATTTACTATATTGATTTCACTTTTAAAAATCATTTTTTGTCATCCCAATTACATATGGGATGTTTTTCGTTTGTTTGCAATCAGTATACAAAGTTACAGATAATACACATTAGGTATCACTTTGGAGTCAAACACCAAAACAAATCAAAAGATCAAATGCAACATTAGTATAGCCATTGATTATGTTAGCTAAACGTCACTAGAGTCTCCTTTAATAAGATGAATTTCTAAATCATTTTTTATTCACAAAAAATCTTTTTTGCATAATTACACAAGACCAACTGTTTGTGAGAATTCCATTCTTTGGATATTAATTGTTTTATCAAAGATTAGGCCAAGACAGATAAATAGTGTGTTTCCTATTCCAACCTGAGAAAAAATAGGGTATAGGTAGGTAGGGAAAAACATTTAATTCTATTTTAACATTTTGTTAAAAAGCACACTGCCATTGAATACCATACAATATTCATTGTCAAAACATTTCTTCTGAATGTGTATTTAAGGATATGCATAATGCAGAAGTGATTGCAATTATTAGATTTCTAATAGCAAAACTCGATTTGTTTACTTTTGAATAGATATTGGTGGATAATTTTTTTGGGGTCGGCTCATATATTTTAAGGTCAGTCGGGGAAGTGGAAACAAAATTTATTTATCTAGGCCTTATACATGTATACAACAATAAGCAACACCCATGGAAATTTTCCTTGCTGATAAATATGAAATGCCTATAATTAACAAAATGCCTATATATATTAAACTTAAATACTAAATGCCTTTAACATGAAAATAACATGATGTAAAAATTTTGTGATCTACATTTTCTGACTTTTCATATTACTCAGTATTAGTGTTGGCAAATCGGACGATTTTTAGCAACCGATTACTCGCTCAATCTTCCGATCGAGTACCCGGTTACTCGGATGATTTATTCATATGTATCATTTATTTCATCTTTTACTCATCGGTTGTGTATTGTGAAATAACTTTATTCATATACTTAAAAAGAACACACACGCAATATCTTGAATTTTAAATAATTATAATTATAATCAAAAAATTAATTAAATCAGAAGAAAAATAAATATTCAATGCTTCACGCTATTTTGCAATTGGCGTTCATCAGTTTTACTTTTCAACCCCCGATATATGTCACGATCAAGGAGAATAATTATTTAGAAATTTGAAGTCACGATAACTCCAATCACATTAATTACATTTTACAGTTATGGAATCAGCTGTTCTTTTAAAATACTTCCAAGCTATACATGTACATGTCTTTGGCGGCATCTTGTTAAATTTTTTAATGAGGTAATTATAACTTTGGTCTTCAAAACTTGTATAACCTGCTGGCAATCCAATTAAGCTATCAGTTAAGTGTGAAAACCAATCAATCGTATCAGTGAAACCATAGATCATTAAGTCTACTGGTAAAGAAAATTAGAGAAATGTTTATTTGTACGCGTATAAACAAATTAACATTTCATTTTTTAGTTATTTACCATATAAGATGCATTTTATCCAAGTAACCGAATAGCAATTTTAGTAACCGATACTCGCATCGTTCGACGGTTAACCGGGTACTCGTTGCCAACACTACTCAGTATATTTAATTAATGATTTTTTTTCTTATCATCATGTGTATTATGCAAAATGATTGCCTGTTTCAATTAATAATAAAAATAATATGACTCAGCAATATGCAGGCTCTCGTCAATCGCCATTTGGTAATAATACTTTCTGGGAGATTATATTAGATAAAAGTCATCAGAGAGCTGAATGGAGAGAAAGGAAATGAAAATTTACTCATATGGGGATTTTGTATAATGATAATAGACAGATCATCCCATACCAATATTGATCAACAATCAAAAAAATTACAATCCACTGGTAATACAATTGTACAATTTATAGATATATATAAATTGCAGGCTTTTTATGAAGATTGCAGAGGGATTTGGTTTTTATTCCAATATCCTCATCAATTGAAAATTGAGTCCTTAATAGAAAAGCATGAAAAATGGCATCATGAACATTCATATTGAAAAATTAAAAATTTTACTTTTTCCACATTTTCAAGATGTAAAAAAATCCTCTATAATTTGAATATTAAAATACTATTTCTACAATTGCCAACTTCTTGATATTTTAATTTTACTTTAATGCAATATGAGCTGCAACTTTGATGTCAGAATATTTTGTTGCAAAAAGTAAATAAATATTTCAATGACAGAAAAAAATAATGTTAATAAACTTCTGTTGTTCATTTTTGTAATGGAAGAACTATTTTTAAGCTTCAAATGAATCAAAATTACATTATTGTCGTCCTGTACAAGAATGATTTCTTATATAAAACTGTATATTTGATTGTACATAGACATTTTTCTATTTTATTTTATTTTAGTCTAATTGATCACAAATGTATTAGTTACATACAAATTTATCATAAAAGCACATTTTAATAGCAAAATAAAATTTTAAAAAATGCAGCTAATATTGCTTTAAACTTTATGTCTTTATCAGTCAAATTTTTAAGAAACAAGACTTAAATGCTTGACAAGCAAATAGTGGGAACAATCGGAACATGGCAAAAATTTTTACATGAAAAGTGTCTTTTATATATATCTATATATGAAGAAGAAAAAATACCTGAAACATTATTTCTCTCAAAAATGATATAGTCCCTGTTTTTCTGGTGTAAAAAATATCCTATCTGAAGGCCACTTGGTCCGGCTCCTATAACACAGTAGTCATGGTGAATGGAACTGGTTGCTATGATGATGGGGATGAAAAGGAAGACAAAGGTCAAGGGGAAGAAGTAAGGCCTCATGGTTAAGGTCATTTTATGTCCTCATCCAAGGTCACTGTTTACTAAAACTGAAGAGATGTGATAGTTAAATATGTGCATGCATTTCTGAATATTTAATAGACAAGTTGCACCATACATCATTTATTGAAGTCTGATCAAAACTTTAACTAAAGGTTGATGACCCTCTCATAAGAAGAGGAATTTCAAAAATTGAAATAACTATTATTCCTAAATATAGAATTGTGACATTAAGATCTTGTTTATATTCCTGTCAAATTTTGTTACAGAAGGTATTAAGCTGAAATTGCTTACCCTGGTACATTAAATTATGAATTAATAGATTTCTTTAAAAAAATTCATAAGCATTAAAAAAACTCATATGAGTGATCACGGGGAGATCAACCAGCCTAATTAAAAAGCAGTGATTCAGAACTGAATTCTGTTCTAGCTAGTATGCCCGAAGCTCACCAGCTGGGGAAAAAAAATGGGATGCATGAAAAAGAGATTTCATAAACTTTTTTTCAGTCCATTAATGAATTAAAAGTTCTAAACATGTAGATATTAGTGCATGCCAATGGAAAATGACACTTGCATGGTTTAACTAGTGCTAATTGTAACGGGAACCGTTACAGATGTTCCCCAAACGCTCCCCAACTCCTTTTTGGTGCCATATTCCCTGTAAGCTTCATTAATAAGGACAAACTCTGTGCATTTTTGACTTTAACAACGTTTTCTCAAAAGGATACCAATTATATTCAAATTTTAGCATTGCACCCGTGCTCATGTGAATGCATGTGCCTTATGATCATATCATCTTGTCTTCACTATCTACATATCCTAATATACAATATATTAAAGCATTCAGTCCAAAAGTATGAAAAATCACTCTTTCAAACGTATTTTTCATTTCACTCGTTCCAAATGCACGCACGTGAGTGCACGTGCATGATGACCATTCCTTCTTGTAGGAGTCCCTTATATCTATCTATATTTTAAATCCCATCCTGTTTGGTTGAAAAACAATGAAAAACAAGGGAGTTATAGCCATTTCAAGTTTAAGCCAATCAGATTGCAGCACACGTGCATGCGCGTGATTTCATGATTGTTTTTCTACACCTTTTTGTAGTATATCCTAATGCATGACTATGTTTTAAATTTCAAAGCATTTCGTCAAAAAACAAAGGAGATATAGCCATTTAAAGTTTCAGCCAATCAGATTGCAGCACGCGGGCATGCGCATGCTTTCATGAAAATTCTTATATATCACGCTGTAGATCTTCATAATGTAGGTCTATGTTCAAAATTTCAAAGGATTATGACAAGAAACAAGAAAGATATTGAGACTTTAGTTTCAGCCAATCAGAGCGAAGCGCAAGTGCATGTGCGTGAGATCTTACTTTTTTGACCATGTCATTCTGTCTATCCTTCTAATATATACTTATAATACGAATTTCAAAGCATTTCATCAATAATTTAAATAGTTACATCTGTATCAATTATATTGGACATTTCTCGTGTTGCACGTGCGAGCTCTTGCAAGCACATGTGCATGCACATGCTTTCATGATAAATCTTATATTACAGGCTGTAGATCTCCCTAATGTATGACTATGTTCAAAATTTCAAATGATTTTATCAAAAAACAAAAAAGATATTGAGACTTTAGTTTCAGCCAATCAAAGCGAAGTGCACGTGCATGCGCGTGCGATCTTGCTATTTTGACCATGTCATCTTGTGCATACTACTAATATATCATTACAAGTTTCAAAATATTTTGTCACAAAATAGAAAAGTTACGGTTATATCCATTATATATTGGTCATTTTAAGTTTTGCACTCGCGCGCTCTTGCAAGCACGTGCGCACAAAATGACCTTGATTCCGCAAATCTACATAACATGCCTACTTACCCTAAAAAGGTTTCACCTAAGTCGGATGTGTAGTTTACAAGATCACTCGCGGAAAAGATTTTCCCAGGAAGAAAAATAATAATAAGAATAACTAGAGCAAAGCTCGTTGCAAAGCAACGAGTAGGTCTTCCGTCCTGTTTTGACCGGAAGTAGCTTTCATTTTTTAACAAAAATGAGAAATAATGCATCAAAATGGTTTGAATCCTCTAAAGCTATGTTAATTAATGCAAAAGTAATCAATTTTTTGGTACTTCCGGTTTGACCGGAAGTGACGACGACGGACGGAAAATTAATTTTTATGCTCCCAGAGTCATATGTTACCAAAACACTTGTCAAGAACGGCAAAAATACGCATTTTCCGACTACTTCCGGTTTGGCCGGAAGTGACGACGCCGGACGTTTTTTGATGACCCCAATAGATTAAGCTTGACATTTTGAACAAGTCTGCTTCTTTGACGTATTACAAATTCTCAATACGTTTTGAGATATAAGAAAAAAACTTTCGGCCCCTCTAGGCCCTTAATTTTAGGGGCCAGCCCCTTATAGTTGATATCCGTTCAAAGATCGTGACATTCTTAACAACTTTTGTTCTATATGTTTTGATAAAATATTTACAGGTAGAAAGATACTGTTGAAAAAGTGTTTAAATTTTTCAAATTCATGATAGACCATTTTTCGGACCATAGCGACCGCCGACGTACGGCGTTTCCGGAAAAAGCCAAATACGAAAGGCACATCTACAGACATAGGTCTATCATGCCTGAAAGTTTCATGTTTCTATCTCAACTCATATTTCAGAAAAACTCTGGACAACACAACCCTTTAAAATTCATAAAATCGGCAATATCTCAGACCGGAAGTGACGTCATCAAAAAACAAAAAAAACGCATAAGGTTCAAGTGATGATACATAAGTCCTGAAAGTTTCATGAAAATCCATCAAGCCGTTTTCGAGAAATCGCGTGCACAAAATCGGTAAGAAAAAAAACAATAATAAAAGTGAAAAAGAAACCTTACAATAACAGAAAGGTCTTCCGCTGAAGACGGAAGACCTTAATAACTAGTGCTAATTGTAACGGGAACCGTTACAGATGTTCCCCAAACGCTCCCAAACTCCTTTTGGTGCCATATTCCCTGTAAGCTTCATTAAATAAGACAAACTCTGTGCATTTTTGACTTGAACAACGTTTTCTCAGAAAGATACCAATTATATTCAAATTTTAGCATTGCACCCGTGCGCGTGTGCATGCATGTGCGTTATGATTATATCATCTTGTCTACACTATTTACATATCTTAATATACAATATATTGAAGCATTCAGTCCAAAAGTATGAAAAATCACTCTTACAAACGTTTTTTTCATTTCACTCGTTCCAAATGCACGCACGTGCGTGCACGTGCATGATGACCATGCCTTCTTGTAGGAGTCCCTTATATCTATCTATATTCTAAATCCCATCCTGTTTGGTTGAAAAACAAGGGAGTTATAGCCATTTCAAGTTTAAGCCAATCAGATTGCAGCACACGTGCATGCGCGTGATTTAAAATTTTTCTACATCATATTGTAGTATATTCTAATGCATGACTATGTTTTAAATTTCAAAGCATTTCGTCAAAAAACAAAGGAGATATAGCCATTTAAAGTTTCAGCCAATCAGATTGCAGCACGCGGGCATGCGCATGCTTTCATGAACATTCTTATATATCACGCTGTAGATTTTCATAATATAGGTCTATGTTCAAAATTTCAAAGGATTATGACAAGAAACAAGAAAGATATTGAGACTTTAGTTTCAGCCAATCAGGGCGAAGCGCACGTGCATGCACGTGAGATCTTACTTTTTTGACCATGTCATTTTGTCTATCCTTCTAATATATACTTATAATATGAATTTCAAAGCATTTCATCGATAATTTAAATAGTTACATCTGTATCAATTATATTGGACATTTCTCGTGTTGCACGTGCGAGCTCTTGCAAGCACATGTGCATGTACATGCTTTCATGATAAATCTTATATTACAGGCTGTAGATCTCCCTAATGTATGACTATGTTCAAAATTTCAAATGATTTTATCAAAAAACAAAAAAGATATTTAGACTTTAGTTTCAGCCAATCAAAGCGAAGTGCACGTGCATGCGCGTGCGATCTTGCTATTTTGACCATGTCATCTTGTGCATACTACTAATATATCCTTACATTATAAGTTTCAAAACATTTCGTCACAAAATAGAAAAGTTACGGTTATATCCATTATATATTGGTCATTTTAAGTTTTGCACGTGCGCGCTCTTGCAAGCACGTGCGCGCAAAATGACCTTGATTCCGCAAATCTACATAACATGCCTACTTACCCTAAAAAGGTTTCACCTAAGTCGGATGTGTAGTTTACAAGATCACTCGCGGAAAAGATTTTCCCAGGAAGAAAAATAATAATAATAATAATAAGAATAATAATAATAAGAAACAGAGTAAAAACAATATGTTCCCCAACTTCGTTTGGGGAACATAACTAGAAAAGAAACTCGTTGCGAGCAACGAGAGGTCTTCCGTCTGATTCTGAAAACCCGCAAAATCGAGCTGAAAAAGTGATCAAACTTTTTGTGGAAACAAAGAGGATTAAACCCGAATTGCCAGCGTAAAAAATCCAATGCGCTTACTACATTGTATTACGCTATTGGGACCACAGCTCTAACTGTATTTGTATATATTTCTGCAACAGTACATCTGTCTTAGAATAATGAAAGACGAATCACTATTCATAATTTTGCATCAAACGCACTGAGTAAATCTTCGCGCCTTTTCTTTAGAATGTTCCATTAAATAGGTGTGTAGCTTCAATAGAAAGAAAAAAAGAACGTTCTTATAGCTAAAGTATCAAGGTGAAGAAAGTATATTTAGCACATTTTACAAATTTCATATTGTATATTAGCAAGTAAAACTAAAGCAATGAAACAGTTATTGAATTTAACTTTTTTAAAATTTCTTGTTTATCCCCTAAGTGAACTATCCCGATTAGTTAAGCTTTCATCAAAAGGTTGAAATGTTTTGCCGAAAAACATGTGTCGCCCGAAGACAGTCAAGGAATCGGATACCATTTATGCTCAATAACTTGAATCAGATCTTTGAGACAAGAATGTTAATATAAACTCCATT